AGCCCCTCAACATCCCCCCGGAATTCCCAGAACCGGGCACAGCCCTCGAGGTGTGGCCTCACCAGTGCCCGGCACAGGGGGCACAATCCCCTCCCTGCCCCTGCTGGGACACCCCAGCCCCGATCCAGGAATGCCAGGATCCATGGGATGGTGCCAGGAATGCACTCCCTGCTCCTGCTGGGACATCCCAGCCCCGATCCAGGAATGCCAGGATCCATGGGATGGTGCCAAGAACCCCCTCCCTGCTCCTGCTGGGCCACCCCAGCCCTGAGCCAGCCCAGGAATCCATGGAATGGTGCCAGGAATCCCTTCCCTGCTCCTGCTGGGACACCCCAGCCCTGAGCCAGGAATGCCAGGATCCCATGGGATGGTGTCAGGAATCCCTTCCCTGCTCCCGCTGGGACACCCCAGCCCTGATCCAGCCCAGGATCCCATGGGATGGTGCCAGGAATTCTCTCCCTTCTCCCTCTAGGCCACCCCATCCCGATCCAGCAATGCCAGGATCCATGGGATGGTGCCAAGAACCCCCTCCCTGCTCCTACTGGGCCATCCCAGCCCTGATCCAGCCCAGGAATCCATGGAATGGTGCCAGGAATGCCCTCCCTGCTCCTGCTGGGCCAGTCCAGCCCTGATCCAGCCCAGGATGTCATGGAACGGTGCCAGGAATCCCTTCCCTTCTCCCTCTGGGCCATCCCAGCCCTGAGCCAGCCCAGGACCCCATGGGATGGTGCCAGGAAATCCCTCCCTGCTCCTGCTGGGCCACCCCATCCCGATCCAGCAATGCCAGGATCCCATGGAATCCTGGTGCTCCAGCCCGTGGATCCCACGTTCCCATCGCCACGTATCGCAAGCCTGTGCCAGGGGGGAAAAATCGCACCGCTGAGGGAAGAATCTGCTGCCCTTTGGAAAAACCCTGGCACTTCGCCAAAACCAACCCGGGAATCTCCAACCCTTTGTTCTCGGTCCGCATAAAGAGGGAGAGTGATTTGGTTTGTGGGCGGGCTGTGAAGCCGGCCTGCCGGGGCACTTTGGATGCTGGAGGTTGGGAGCTAAATCCCACTGGATTTTGGGTCTGGGGGGTTTAGGAGCTCAAATCCCACTGGATTTTGGGTCTGGGGGTTGGGAGCTCAAATCCCACTGGATTTTGGGTCTGGGGGGTTTAGGAGCTCAAATCCCACTGGATTTTGGGTCTGGGGGGTTTGGGAGCTCAAATCCCACTGGATTTTGGGTCTGGGGGGTTTGGGAGCTCAAATCCCACTGGATTTTGGGTCTGGGGGGTTTGGGAGCTCACAAATCCCACTGGATTTTGGGTCTGGGGGGTTTGGGAGCTCAAATCCCACTGGATTTTGGGTCTGGGGGGTTTGGGAGCTCAAATCCCACTGGATTTTGGGTCTGGGGGGTTTGGGAGCTCAAATCCCACTGGATTTTGGGTGTGAGGGGTTTGGGAGCTCAAATCCCACTGGATTTTGGGTCTGGGGGGTTTAGGAGCTCAAATCCCACTGGATTTTGGGTGTGAGGGGTTTAGAAGCTCAAATCCCACTGGATTTTGGGACTGGGTGTTTTACGAGCTCCAAACCCACTGAATTTTGGGTGTGAGGGTTTTAGGAGCTCAAATCCCAGTGGATTTTGGGACTGGGGAGTTTGGGAGCTCAAATCCCACTGGATTTTGGGTTGGAACAAGACAATCTTTGAGGTCCCTTCCAACCCAAACCTCTCTGGATTTCTGGGATTCTCCTTAAAAGTGATTTTCCTCCTTAAATTGTCCATAAGGAACCAGCAGGAACGCCCTGTATCCCCCACGAGGGGTTTGGGAGGCAAACCCGGGAATTCCCACGGCTCAAATGGGAACAGGGCGAACCTGGAGGTCGGGAAGCAGTGGGGCAGGGGGGGGATTTTCCCAAAGAAAAATTCCAAGCTGGAGAAAATAGCTTCTACCTGAGAGGCCGGTGATGTCCATCTTTGGCAGGTGCCGGGCCTTCAGCACCACCACGGTCATCCTCTGCGCCACGGGCTGGTAGGACAGGGACACCTGCAGCTCCCCCCGGCTCAGGCACTTCTGGGAGCAGGGAAAAACAAGGAATTCGTCAGGAAAAAGCCACCCGGGAAACCCGGAGAGCTCCAAAGGGGACGTCCGGAATTCCTTTTCCTCCCGGGGAAACAGCAGCTGGAAAAGGCAGCTGGAAATTGGGAAAAAGGGAGCGCGGGGAAGTTCCGCGGGGGGGATTGGGGAGGGAATATCACCCCACCAAGGGGTGTCCTGGAATTCTGCCCCTGGAATTGGGGGTTTCCATCGGCGGGAAAAGCCGGGGGGAGCCTCGGAGGGAAAGGAGGTGGCGGCGGGATTTGGGAAGGTGGGAATTGGGAAGGGGGGTTGGGAGCTCAAATCCCACTGGATTTTGGGTCTAGGGGGGTTGGGAGATCAAATTCCACTGGATTTTGGGTCTGGGGGGGTTGGGAGCTCAAATCCCACTGGATTTTGGGCCTAGAGGGGTTAGGAGCTCAAATCCCACTGGATTTGGGGTCTGGGGGGGTTTAGGAGCTCAAATTCCACTGGATTTTGGGTCTGGGGGGTTTGGGAGCTCAAATCCCACTGGATTTTGGGTCTGGGGGGGTTTAGGAGCTCAAATCCCACTGGATTTTGGGTGTGAGGGGTTTAGAAGTTCAAATCCCACTGGATTTTGGGGGTGAAGGGGTTGGGAGCTCAAATCCCACTGGATTTCGGGTCTGGGGGGTTTGGGAGCTCAAATCCCACTGGATTTTGGGTCTGGGGGGGTTTAGGAGCTCAAATCCCAATGGATTTTGGGTCTGGGGGGGTTTAGGAGCTCAAATCCCAATGGATTTTGGGTCTGGGGGGGTTTAGGAGCTCAAATTCCACTGGATTTTGGGTGTGAGGGGTCAAATCGACTGGATTTTGTGTGTGAAGGGTTTCGGAGCCCAAATTCCACTGAATGGGTTTGGGAGCTCAAATCCCACTGGATGTTGGGGGTGAAGGGTTTAGGAGCTCAAATCCCACTGGATTTTGGGGGTGAAGGGGTTGGGAGCTCAAATCCCACTGGATTTTGGGTCTGGGGGGGTTGGGAGCTCAAATCCCACTGGATTTTAGGGTGAAGGGGTTGGGAGCTCAAATCCCACTGGATCCTTAAGAATTCAACACTCAGAAACTTCTCTCAATTTTCAAATTAAAGGTGGCTTTTAAAAACTTATCCTGGAGAACTCAACACTTAGAAACTCATCTCAGTTTTCAAACATGGCTTTTAAGAAGCTCCTCCTGGAGAATTCAACACTCAGAAACTTATTTGATTTCCCAATGAAATAATGGCATTTAAGAAGCTGCTCTTTGAGAATTCAACACTTAAAAATTATCTAAATTTCCCAATGAAAGATGGCTTTTAAAAAATATGAATAAGAATTCAACACTCAGAAACTTATTTAATTTTCCAATAATGGCTTTTAAGAAGCTTCTCCTTGAGAATTCAACACTTAAAAATTACCTTAACTTTCCAATTAAAGGTGCCTTTTAAAAAATATTAATAAGAATTCAACACTCAGAAACTTATTTAATTTTCCAATGAAATAATGGCTTTTAAGAAGCTTCTCCTTGAGAATTCAACACTTAGAAAATTCTCTCAATTTTCAGATTAAAATGGCTTTTAAAAACTTATCCTTGAGAATTCAACACTTAAGAATTCAACACTTAGAAACTTCTCTCAATTTTCCAGTGAAATATGGCTTTGAAAAAATATGGAGCTCATCCTGCAGAATTCAAAGCTTAAAAACTCATCTCAGTTTTCCAGCTAAAGGTGGCTTTTAAAAAATATGAATAAGGATTCAACACTCGGAAACTTATTTAATTTTCCAATGAAATAATGGTTTTTAAGAAGCTCATCCTTGAGAACTCAACACTTAGAAACTTCTCTCAATTTTCAAGTGAAATATGGCTTTTAAGAAGCTCCTCCTGGAGAATTCAACACTCAGAAACTTACTTAATTTTCAAATGAAATAATGACTTTTAAGAAGCTCATCCTTGAGAATTCAACACTTGGAAACTTCTCTCAATTTTCCAATGGAATAATGGATTTTAAGAAGCTCCTCCTGGAGAATTCAACACTCAGAAACTTATTTAATTTCCCAATGAAATAATGGCATTTAAGAAGCTTCTCCTTGAGAATTCAACACTTAGAAACTTATTTAATTTTCCAATGAAATATGGCTTTGAGGAAGCTCCTCCCTGAGGATTTGGCCCTCTTTGGCCAGGATTCCTGGCCGAGGCTTTGCATCGCTCCTGTTCATCGGGACACCCCGGGTTGGAAGGCCCAGGATTGGCCCAGGATTGGCCCCGGGATCAGCCTGGGATCGGCCTCAGGATTGCCCTGGGATCAGCCCGGAATTGGCCTGGGATTGGCCTCGGGATCAGCCCAGGATCGGCCCCGGGATTGTCCCTGGGATCAGCCCGGGATCAGCCTCAGGATTGGCCCTGGGATCAGCCCCGAGATCAGCCCGGGATCAGCCCCAGAATCAGCCCAGGATTGGCCTGGGATCGGCCCTGGGATCGGCCTCGGGATCAGCTTGGGATCAGTCCTGGGATCAGCCTCAGGATTGGCCCTGGGATCGGCCCTGGGATCGGCCTTGGGATCAGTCCCGGGATCAGCCCCAGGATCAGCCCCAGGATCAGCCCTGGGATCAGCTGGGGATCGGCCCTGGGATCAGCCCAGGATCAGCCCGGGATCAGCCCGGGATTGGCCCTGAGATCAGCCTGGGATCAGCCCCAGGATCAGCTCAGGATCAGCCTGGGATCGGCCCTGAGATCAGCCTGGGATCAGCCTGAGATCAGTCTGGGATCAGCCCTGGGATCGGCCCTGGCATCAGCCCTGGGATCAGCCCCAGGATCAGCCCAGGGATCGGCATGGGATTGGCCCCAGGATCAGCTGGGGATCAGCTTGGGATCAGCCTGGGATCAGCCCCAGGATCAGCCCCGGGATCAGCCCCGGGATCAGCCCCAGGATCAGCCCCAGGATCAGCCCCAGGATCAGCCCAGGATCAGCCCCAGGATCAGCCCCAGGATCAGCCTGGGATCAGCCTGGGATCAGCCCTGGGATCAGCCTGGGATCAGCCTGCGATCAGCCCCAGCATCAGCCCTGGGATCAGCCCCAGCATCAGCCCCAGGATCAGCCTGGGATCCGCCCCGGGATCAGCCCCAGGATCAGCCCCAGGATCAGCCCCTAGGATCAGCCCAGCAATCAGCCTCCGGATCAGCCGGATTTCAGCCCCGGATCAGCCAGGATCGCCCCAGCATCAGCCCCAGATCAGCCCCGGGATCAGCCCCGGGATCAGCCCCAGGATCAGCCCCGGGGTGTCCGGAGCCGACTCACCTGGATGTTCCTCTTGAGGATCTCCCTGGTGAGCTGCACTTTGCCGGTGCTGGGGTCGACGCCGGCCAGGGGCACCACAACCTCTCCGATCACGTCGTCGCGGGAGAAGCGGTCGAAGCTGAGCACGAGGAAGTGCAGCACCAGGTCCTGCAGTTGGCTGTAGGGGATCCCGTAGAAGGTGAAGGTCTCGTCGAACACCGGCTCCAGCGTCTTGCGCAGCACCCGGGTCTTCACGCGGTGCCTCTTGTCGGGCAGGATGGTCATCTTGATGTAGGGGTCGGAGCTCTGCGTGTGCTCGTCCATCACGGGCAGCCCGCGGGCCTCCTGGATGGTGACCACCAGGGCCTTTTTGGGGAAGTTGTAGTCCACCGAGAAGGTCAGCTCGCCCAGCGTCACGTCGTCGCCCGGCGAGGACGGCGAGGAGGTTTTGCTGCCCGCCGGGGTGAGGCTCCGGTCCGGGCTGAGTTCGTCCCCGTAATCCACCTGGATGGGGAGCTGCTCGACCCGGGGGGCTGCGGCGGGTGCCAACGGGGCCTGTCGGGGCCCGCCAGCCCCGACTCGGCCGCTTCCACCAGGAGGTTCCCCCGCGCGGCCTCCTTGGGGGTCCCGCTCTTGTCTCGGCGCAGCCGGTTGATTTTCTTCTTGTTGCTCAAGGTCTCGGGGTAGATGCTGATGCCTTTCAGCATGTGGATGAACTTATAGGGGGGGGTTTTGTGCTTCTTCTCGGCCTGCTGGTGACAGCATGTCCACACAAACACCGTGACCGAGACGGAGACCACCAAGACGGTCGCGCCGATGAGCCCGGCCACCACGGGGGACACGTCTGCGGGGACACGAGGCGGTCAGGGCCCGACCCCCACGGGCAGGGGGGGCTCCCAGTCCTGCCAAAAGCTCCCCCTGGAAACTCCTTCCCCTCTTTCCCCCCCGCAGATCGACCCCCCCGCTCTCCCGACCCGCGTTCTCTCCCCCCTCCGTGTGCCGAGGATTTCAAACAGCAGCTTTGCCTTCTCCTGCCAAACCCGGCTCCCTCCTCACCAGCATCTCCATAGGAACGCGGGTTCTGGGTTTGCAGGAGGCACTTGCTTCTATTTTTTTGATGCCCTGCTCGCAGACGTTACACAATTCTGTTTTCACAACACAGGGAAGCGTGGCCGGAACGCCGGAGCCGAGTCCTAAAACCATTCCCAAAACACCACTTTGCCCTGAAATGTTTTCTTGGTTTGCCCTGGAATGGTTTGGTCTGCCCTGAAATGCTTTGGTTTGCCCCAAAATGCTTTGGTTTGCCCTGGAATGGTTTGGTTTGCCCCAAAATGCTTTGGTTTGCCCCGACACGAGGCCAAAATCTCCCGTGGAAATCCAGCGTCCAAAAAAAAAAAAAACAACCGAGGGACGGAAAATCCCGCGTTTGGATTTAGGGATTATTTGATGTTTTCGAGCTCTTAGGCCAATTTACGTTCTCCAGGGCAGCATAAGAACCATCCCATGGTTATTTTTAGCAGCCACGCCGGTTGTTCCCTAATGGATGGCTCTGGAGAGGGTTTTACCCAGGCACTGAGGGAAGCCTGAGCTGCCCAGGACTCACATCCCTCAGCAATTCCAGCCAAGGATTGGGAATCTGGAGTGGATGGAGGATGGGGAGCAGATGGAAGGCAAGGAGAGACCAAAGGGAGGGGCTGCTCAGTCCTAGAAGGGAAGGAAAAGGGGGGATCTTCGTGCTGCCCTCAAGATTCTTGGTGGGAGGTTTTAGGGAAAGCAGAGCCAGACTTTTCACAGGACTTATTTTTGTGTTCCCGGTTTTAAAGCTGTTTTCTGTTATTTCTGGGAGCCAGCAAACCAAAGAAAGCACTTCAACCCCACATCTCTTTCCTTACAAACCACTTCTTCCCCAGGAACCACCGACACGACAACCACAGCAACAGCTGGACAGGACAGCTGGTTAAAAAAAAAGGGTAAATTTGTCTGATTTCCTCTTCATTCTGCACCACAAACAGGAGAAAACAATCCTCTCACCTCACCCCAGAGAGCACCACAAGCTGGGATTTTCTCTGTTCTTCCCACATCCCCATTTATTGAGGGGAACAGGCAGGAAGACAAGGCTGCCAGGATGTGACACAAGCACCTGCCAGGCTCGGGGAAAACGGTTTTGCCCTTTCCCAAAACTGGGAAAACCACTTTTTGGTTCGGCAGGAACCTTCCCAGCCTGCAGCTGGAGTCTTCTGCACTGCTGACTGGTCTCACAGAGCAACCTGTCCCAGGTCTCCCTGCAAACAGAGCCTTGGGCTGAATTAACTAAAGCAAGAGGGGGTTATAATATTGACAAAACACCCCCCAAAAAATCAGCTTTGGTTTGTTATTTAATGTTCCCTCTTTAAAATGAGGCAAGTGCTCTCAAGCAGCTCATTTGGAGACAACTCAGCTGTTAAAAGCTTTGGTGGATATTCAAGAAGAATCCTGAAATTCCATTCTTATTCTTATTCTTATTCTTATTCTTATTCTTATTCTTATTCTTATTCTTATTCTTATTCTTATTCTTATTCTTATTCTTATTCTTATTCTTATTCTTGTTCCTGTTCTCATTCTTATTCTCATTCTTGGTGTGTGTTTTGTTTGTGTCCTCACAAAATCAGCTCCCATACCTTCCTTTCCTGCACCTCTGAGGTGCAGGAGCAGCCCTAAAAAGCACTAAATAAGTCCCTGTGATCTTTCTCCCATCGAATTATCTCAACTCTTAAATATTCTCTCAACCCTTAAATATTCTCTCAACTCCTAAATATTCTCTCAACCCTTAAATATTCCCTCAACCTTTAAATATTCCCTCAACCCTTAAATATTTCCTCAACCCTTAAATATTTCTTCAACCCTTAAATATTCCCTCAACCCTTAAATTTGGCTCCCAGGATGTTCTGTGGCAAAGAGCTTCATGAGCAAGGAGGGTTCTCCTGTCCCACCTCATCCCTTCCAGTGCCTGTTCCTGCATGAGGAGGAGCAGGGAATGACCCTTTCCCTCCCCTGTGCTGCCCAAAATCCCCCTTTTCCCAGCTGAAGGCTCCTACTTATGTAACCATTCCATACATCCCTTGGTCCTGTCTCCATAATTCCTCCCAGTTGGAAACCACACGGATCTAAAGCTGCCTGGAGCCAGTTTTAGTGGAGCCTTCGCAGCTTCCAGGGCACTTCCAGTGCCCAGTGCCCACCTGGAATGGCACCACAGGCTGGCACCCCCCTCCAGCAGAGCAGAACTCTCTGCCCTTTTACCCAAACTTTGTGAAAGAGACCTTTGCTCCGAGGTGATGCTATGGTTTGACTGAAACAAACCCAAAAACCGTGGAAAGCCTCCTTTAAAAATTGATGTTTGCTGATGAAACCTTGATGGCCAGTGGTCCAACAGTGGCAGCACGTGGTGGCTCTGGGATTCCAGGAAAGCCAGGAGGGAAGAGGTGAGTGGGTTTGGCCATCAGATAAATGGTGGAGGATGGAGGAATATGGGTGGGTGTTTAAGGATTTAAAGGAAAAGCTGTGACCGCGGGGCCGGAGGTCCGAGGGGAAGGTCAGGGGGGTGCTGGAGGACACCCAGAGCATCACTTTGGAACCCCCGGTCCCTCAGCGCTGCGGTCCCCGCCCTCCTCACCCCGCGGCCGCAGCAGAAAAAAACATTCTAAAATCCAGGATTCTCGGCAAAACCCGCCCGGGCCCTTCTCCCCGCGGGGGCCGAGCGG